GATGGCCCCGGCCCCGGGGAGAGCCCCGGCAGCGGCCCCGGCGACGAGCCGGCCGCCGAGCTGCTGGAGAAGGTGGGTGCGCGGCGCGGCCTGGCGGCCCGAGGGGCAGCGGGCTCGCCGGGCGGGGGGCGCCCCTGGGGGAGGCCGCGCTGGAGAGGGCTGGTGCCCGCTGGGGGCTGCCTCGGCACGGAGCCCGCGGCGGGGCCTGGCGCTGCCGGCCACTGGGGCACGTGTTAAGGGGGTGTCAGCAGGAAAAAATCCCTGCTCTCCTTTCTTGAAGCCCGTTTCTTCCCTTAACTACCCTGGCTGAACAGGTCGCTACTTCCTTACATTCAGACCAACCCTTCAAAGCCCAAAGACTTAGGGATGTGTGGATGCTGGAATGGGATGTGTTGAGAGCTCTCCAGAGAGGCTGGAGCTGGTTTACCACTGCTTCCCACTCTGTCCTGCAAATATTTGCCCTCTCTGTTACCCTCCCTCGATAAAGGAAGCTCCAGAACCTTCTGTGTTGTCAGTTCTGGTTTATAATTTCATTGTGTAGCAGTTCTTAATATTAAACCTTAATTTCCATGTTGCAAGGCACTGCTGTCTTGTGGACATGGAGAACAGTTGCTTCTTGCCTTCATGCAGATGTTATATGTTTCCCAAATGAAGACTCATATGTCTCTGCCTCTCTCTTTCTATTTCTTTTTTTTTTTTTTTTTCTTTAATTCTTCAGTCTTGCTTTATCAGTACTGTTTCTTTTGACTATCATGCTTGTTTGGTAGGATTTCCCCCTACTTGTGTGTGTATTTCCTTCTTTTTAGCAGCACCATCAAAAGTAGACAGGTCTTGCTAGTGTCGACCCCCCATCTAAGCACTGCTAACAGGTGGCACGAGGTTCATGCCATCAAGTAGTTCACATGTGCAGCACAGGTGAAGAATTAAAATATTTATGGAAGTTAAAAGCTCTTGATCCTATTCAGGAGTGATAAGGGGAGCTACAAGGCTAAAGGCCAATCAAAGCAGATCGCTTTCCTCTCACTCAATAAATCCTTCCAGCTTCACTTCCCCCTCCCAGATGTGCCTCACTTGTGTCCCCGCAGCTCCAGCACCCGAGTGCTGAGGTGCGGGAATTCGCCTGCGCCGGCATTTCCAAGCTCCTGCAGCAGAGACACCTCATCCCAGCCTTCCTGCACCGAGACGTCGTGCGGTGCCTGGGGCCCATGCTGCTGGACCACAGCCTGGCCGTTCGCGAGACGGCGGCGGGCGCTCTCCGGTGAGCGGCTCCCGGGATCGGCGCGGCGAGGAGCTGTCCTGGGCCTGGTAGGGAGAGCCTGGCTCTACTCTAGAGCTGGGATGAACCGCCAGGCTCCTGCGTGGTCCCTGCTGTGCCTGGGTGTGCTGAATCGCCGTACTGGGATCCACAGCAGGCATCCTCGCAGCAGCCCTTGTTACTGCCATTTTACCTGCTTGCAGCGAATGAGTTGTTTTCTGCCCTTCAGTTAGGAAAAACCTATCGCATGAAGCAATACAGAACCCTTGAATGCAGGTGGTGTAGTATTTTCTTTCCTCATAACATCACAGGGGCAACAGGTTAGTTAGGAACTGCAAGTAGCTTTCTGAGAAAACCTGTAAATATTTGACAGCACTGTTTTGAATTGCCATTCTGCATTCAGACCGACAGCTTACACTATATATACAAAATATATGCATTGTATGTACAAAAATATAATGTTAGCGAGTGTCTCATATATTTGTGTCTCAAATATTGTTTTACTCATTGAATAATAGCTGATAGAAGTCATGGTTTGGTTCAAATAAGTGGATGAGAAAATACTTCTTTCTTGGAAAGGTAGAAGACTAAAGGTACTGATCAAGCAGATACATTGTTTTTAAAATTGATCACAACTTTAAGAGAAAAAATAATACAGTTTTATTTTGTTTCAAAATATTTGTAGAAGGTATTTTATCTGATCCAAACTGTTTGATCTTTCCCAGAAATCTCAGTGCTTGTGGAGGATTTGAAGTCTGTGATGACATGGTGACAAAAGACATCATGACACCCCTTGTTGCTCTTCTGAAAGAGGTGTGTTTATTCTGATTTTAAAATTGGTCTAGTCATTGAATTACCCCATTCTCAAAAGCAGTTCATTTTTAATAGCTATTTGCAAGGTAAGAAGTTTAAAAGAACCTTTGGTGGATTGAGTAGTAATTCTTTACAGTTAGCAGTGTAAGTGTCATATGTCTTGAATACTAGCCAGCTGGATTCACAGAATACATCTCGGCATCATTATTATTAGGATTTACTAAGTGAACTTTACTGCTACAACTCTTACTGTGCAACTTTGTAAAGTAGTACAGAAATAATCATAGAGATTTCAAGCAAACACTTGTTTCTGCCTGCTGCATCTGTGATGATATCTGTTGCCTAGGATGTTTTTCAGTCAAAACAAGCCTATTCTGTCAATCTATATTCAGATTCAATGTTGTGTCATTTTTGTTCTGTGAGTATTTTTTCTTTCTATTTCTTTTACAGCTGGGTAGTTACTGCTATCGTAATAACCTGTGCTGAATTCATTGGTTCAGGTGTTGCAGTTCAGTTTAGGAACTGCATTGAGTTCAACTGAACTCAATGGAGTTCTGACCTCTTGCTTTTTGTGTGAGCAGTGTCGTTGTTCTCCATGTGGTTCTTTCCCATCATAAAATGCAGGTAGTGACATTGTTGTGAAGCGTAGCGGGATACATGACTAAGTCTGCGTGATTAGAAGTACTGAAAAATGCACAAAAAACTATACTAACAAGAAACAAGCAGCGTTTCAGATGCTAAACATATTTATTTAGCCAAAGGCAAAAAAGAAAGATTCGGAAGACAGTTGAATGCAGAGCAAGTGGTGTTAGAGGAAACATCACCAGAGAAAGAAATCAGTGATTCAGTTCTGTTGTGTTCACTTTCCTTAGAGAATAAGAAAATAGTCAGGTGGCTGCTATTAAACACTTAATAAGAGGTGTCTATAATTCCTCTATCCTGAAAGTTTTCAGGTTATCTTTTGTGTAGTACTGTTTGTTTTTGTTTTCTTCTTCACAACCCCAGTTTTTTTATTTGGTTGTAGTGTAGCGCTGGACTAGATGCTTATCAGCTCTCTCCGAAGAAATGCAAAGAAATGAACAAAAATTATGTTGAAGACATAGCCAATGAGGCTATTAACTTGCTGTGGAATGTGTGGTAAGTTATTTTTTAGAATAACTAAATTAAATTGCTCCTGAAAAGATTTTGTATGATGATTGAGGCTGAGGGAAATAGCTCCCCTTGTGGGGAAAGATCATTCAGTTGCTGGATCTCACTTCTGATCATGTTGCTCCTATGTGTGCTTTGCACAGTACGTGATGAGCCATCATCTGAGCTGAAATATATTTGTTATTTGCTATTGTAGATTACTTTTGTAAGTGAAGGATTTTAGAAGTGTGTAGAGTTGGTCATTTGTTTTAGGAGTGTGATGTTTTTATTTCCATTTGTTGTTCATCGTAAATTCTGATGCTGTTTTCTCAAAATGTTCTGTCAAAGTCTCATGGAAGACACTTGTACAGTTTGGGTTCTGTGGTCTTGCCTGTAGTTCCTGTAGATCCTTATTGCAATATGGGGGAAAGAAAAAAATAATTTCTCTGGGAATATGAGAAGTTCTTCACTGCTTCCTCCCTCCTGAGATCTTCCCAGAGTTTCAGCTAACTATCCTTTAATGACTTGGGCACTGATAAAAATCTACTTAATTTTCTGATAAAGAATATGAGTAGTTCCCTGAGTAATTTGCATTAGAAACATTGGGCAAACAAAGAGAAGTAGTAACGCTACTAATACAAATATAGCTATGAACATTGAAGTGATATAAGCTTGTATTAAAAGTTCTTAAACTTTATTTTCTTGCTGTTGATTTTGATTCAGTGTTGTCACAGTTCTATGTTGTTACATGCTTCGGTCCATGTAGAGTTTGTCTTGTACTAGACAGTATTTCAAAGGAGCTGCCTATATGTCTGCCCATATGGAATGGTTGTTGACTTGAGGCCCTTTTTCTAAATCTGTTTTCTTCATGACTAAAATCTAGAACAGTACAGAAACTGCTTGCTCAGCAGCCTTGCAGGATATGACATCTTATTGTAACTGTCTCAGCTATCCATTTTAGTGTTTATGCAGACATAAGTGCTTTGGAACAGAAACGTGGTCTTTAAGTGTGTTATAAATCACCTCTGTATTTTGAACTCCATGGCACTGATAGTGAACCATTGGCATCATTGCTAAGTTTGGCACTGGTAAAATTTAGACTGATGCTGAGCTATAATACTTTAAAAAAAGAAATTTTTTTTGAGGAGCTGTATAGCTAGCTAATCCATGCCTCAACTTTGTCTTTTATTTTTGTTGTAGATTAGAAAAAGGAAATAGCTGTAGAAGTTTGAAGAAATACAAATCCAACTATTTACCTAATTAAACGGTACATTTTGTATTGTTTCAGCAAGCATTTCTAAATGCCAGGTGACAGTAATCTTTTTTATATAGCAAATGAGCACTTAAGTTTGAGAGGCAACAACCCATTCTCTGTTATCAGTGGGTTTTGGATAAAGGCTGGTGCAGAGAGCCCTGGTCTGGCTGACAGCCCGAAACTTTGCTGCCCTGTGCACTCATGTTGCTCCGGCCTCTTGCATGAGCCTGTTTAGGCTCGTGGACTCCAAAACAAAGTGTGACGAGGTGGCTGACAGAAGCCAACCTAATTCAAAGGTTTCCAGGGTATTCCAACGTCTTCCCCACCTTAGGAAGTGTTCAGCGTCTCCTCAGTAATGAAGGAGAGCTCTGGGACTAACCATTTCTAATACTTAGGTGGGTTTTAAAAATGTAAATGCTAGAAATGCTGAGTACATGTTACTTAAAATTTTGTTACAGTGTTTTTTTTTTCTTGGGAAAAAGTGTTTTATTAATCTTTTTATGTGATAGTGAATGCAACAATACAGCAGTATCTATATTCAATAAAGAAGGGTGTCTGGAGGCTGTATTACATTATATGAAGAAATTTTCTACAAATGTGGATCTGGCTATTTCAGTAGGTAAGTAGTAAAAAACCTGAAGCTAAGGATCTAAAGTGTCTTTTTAATTTTTTTATTTGAAGGTAGCACATCCATTGAATAATGCACCTGTGTTAGTACTGCCTAAAGTTAACATAGAATACAACATTTAAAATTTCTTCTCTGAGCAGCAGATAATTCAGAAGCTGATATTTGTTGCCCTTTTTTTCAGTCCAAAGAGGAGTGACATATTTGTTGGTTATGTGGGAGGAAAAGTTTTGAGGGAGGAAAAAATGCATTGAGGGAGGCTGTTCTTCTGTTTTGCTTTGGTTTTTTTTTTTTTGTGGTGGTGGTTTTGATTTCTCTGTAATGAAGACTTTCTCTTGTAGAGAAAAGGACATGTTTAAAAAAAAAACAACTCCGTTCCTATGAACATATAGTAGTAGTATCGCTACTATTTGGTCTTACAGTAGTCTTGCTGTTATGTTATGAATTTAATATGCCTAGTCCCATGTCTGACATGGTGCTGACTTCACCTGTTTTACGTGCTGTTCTGCCAAAGGAGGCCTTTTAATGTAAAACACAATTTGTGGGGAGGGTGTCTGTCTTCTGCTGTGTGTGTCATATCATTACAGTACGCTGTTGTTTTTAGCTATTTCTTTTTCCTGTGTTTGTGTGTTATTACCTTAGCTTTCAGGAAGGTCAAGCTTTCTCTGTAGGAGAGTGAAAGCTACTATTTGGTTTGTTAATCATTGTATTTTTTTATTTGCTACAGCGAACTGCTTACAGGCAGTGACAGAGGATAATCCTGAACTTCTTTCTTCATTCAATTCCTCTGCACAACAAGTACTAGAAACTGTTCTGTTATGTCCGGAGAGCACAATGAAGCATGTTCTTCTGAGAACACTGATAGCAGGTACAACGTTTTAAGAGATTCAGTAGTTTGGTGATGGGTAGCACAGAGTTTTACCCTGCTATCATCTCGACACCTAGTTGTGATGCTACCCTAACACTAGCTGTAAGGTTGTTCATAAGGTTGTTTTCACTTGGAGTGAAAGATACTCCAAATATTTGAAACTAGTTTTAAAACTGTCTCAAATACCTGATTCTGAATTTAATACCTGCTTAACATGTGTGTGTAGTCTTCTTGTTTGTTTGCTTTTCTTAATATTTGTTTGGTTTTCACTGATAAAATGAATCAGTATTAAATAGTGTAGGAATAGTCTAGATCTTGTCAAGCAGAGGATTATTATCTCGGGTTCTCTACCTCTTTCTGCCTCCAATGATCAGCCAGGTTGAGCTTTGGTTCTAGAGTATAAGAAAGGTGTTTAACTTTGAGAATCCTTGAAAAGTGGTTATCTTATATGGGTTTGTTATCTGAAGTAAAGAACATCATTAGAATTGCCCCATAGGAATCTTCTGTGGTTGCTAACATCCTGGAATTTACTTGATCATGAAGTCTGCACAGAGCAGATAGATCAGCATATGAAATCCTGAGGAGAAAAAAAAATGTGAGCCTATAGAGAAAAGATTTGGTCATTTGTACTGAAATATAAGCACTGCGTAACTGAGCTTGCAGGGACTGTGCCCTTACAAAATAAATGGCTGTTACAGAACTGTGAATTTAATGTTTTGATAATTTTCATATTAAACTCTCATGTGTAGGTACTATCTGGAATATCAAGGACATCATTCCACCAGGCAGCCTGGCAAGCATGGTTAATGCAATCCTGAAGATTTTCTCAGAATCACTGGAAGTAGATGCTGGTGAAACAATTATCCGTATGAGTGAAGCTGAAAAAAACAGGTTAAAAGTTGCTCCAGAGACAGAAACTGAGGAAAACATGACTGATGTTATAGACAATTGTGTTTTGAATGAAGATAATGAAATGGAAGAAATACCAAAAAGAAAAGTCAGGCAGCAAAATGACGTTTCTGATCTGCTTCCAGTAAGTATAGCTGACCAGCTCTCAGAGAGGTTGATGCATCTGACTTGTTCTTAACTGAGTGTGAGCCAGAATAACTGACTAATAATGTTACCAATTTTTTTCCCACAAGTGGCTTCACTGTTTTAGCTAACACTTCAAAGCTGAACGTGGAGAGTTTCATCACAAATGGTTGAAATGTGAAGTTACACAACAGCGATGATAAGGAAATGTGCTTTTCTTGTACTCCTCTAGTGTAAAGTGTAGGCTTCTCTGACGCCTGCTTGTATAGCTAGCACAGGAAGTCCGTGATTGCTGCCTAAGGTAAATGAGATGTTTAATGGTTTTAAGTGTCAAGTTAAGTGTAGAGATCACAGAGAGCTTAGTAAATGTGCCCATTAAAAAGAAAAAAGAAAAAAAAATAACAGAAACAAGCAGAGGACTTCACATTTTGTTCATTCCTTTGCATTATGACATTAGTGCAGATACAATTTTTATATTTAAAAATCCTTCGCTGGTCCAGCTGAAGCATCAAATAGAAATAAAAATGACAACTTAGTGCTTCTTGGGAGGTGGTGGGGAGGGATGGTTTGGGATGGGATAGTATTTCCTAGTGACTGGGTTGTATTTTTTGTTGGCAGTTGAGCCAGCTACTTCAGTGCTCTGAAATGTGGTTTTCCAAAATCAAATTTTGTTCATCCTTTTTATTTATTTTTTTTCTTCTAGTCTGATAAGTGGGAGCTGAAAGAAGTGACAGCCTTACTGATGGCTCAGCAGACTGCTCTGGAGGTCATTGTTAACATGTGCTGCAGTGAAGGTCTGTAGAAATCTCTTATGGCTTGTGTTTCGTAGTCTTCTGTTTCTGAAATAAATGATGTTTAGTTCACTACCTGGTGATCTTAACCTTTGAGAGTGAATACGTATAGATTTCTGATCCCTAATGCCCTCATCTTTTGGAATATCACAATATTAATGCCAGTTGAAGTATGCATTTTTTTCCCCATTGAAATAATTTTATGTTACTTCAGTGTATATTTTCTGAGATATTACAAGTCCTGTATGAATTGTCGTAAGGTTTTAATTTGTGCCCGTGTTAAAGAACACACTTGTACAGAATAGAAATTTGATAAAATGTATTGTTACTGGTTCTTTTTGGAGGAGAGTTAGAGCACATTCCACCAGTTAATTTGATAGACGATGACTGAATTCTGTTGCAGGACTGAGGTGTTAGGTTTTTGAAACAGAGTTTGCTTTTCTTGTTTGGGATTTAGTTTTGATACTAAAAGAGTTGCAGAAGGAGGAGAAGAGGTAGTTTTACATGCAGCTCTTGACAACAGGGTAGATTTGGCCTGATTGGATTTCCACCTTTACAAGTTTTCTTGAAGGAAGAAGAAAAGCTGTTTTGGGATGAGTTTAGGAAAAGGATATCATATCTTCTATCAAGTCTGATACTTGGTTTTGATAGCTTTTCTTCAAATCATCAGGATAAATGGTTTTTGAACTCTGCTTAAAAGCAAAACAAACCAAACCCACTGAACCTGGAAGTTTTAATTAGTGCCTGAGCCTGATGCAGAAGTAATTGTTTAGGGGAGAAATTTGTAAGTAGATCTTTCAGGTTCTAATAGTAAAACCTCAGTAATATCCAGATGTTCCCAGTGGTGATTTTCTCTTACAGCACGAGGAAGTTCTGCACCTCGCATTGCATAACTGCATTTCTCATCTAATGAGCTGTAATTCATAAGCTTTTCCCTTTAATTAGAAAATCTCTTGTGGATAGGCTGCATATTCTATTATTCACACAGTGTAATATAACATTGATTGTGTGGTATTTCACTACTACACTCATTTGTGGGCAGACTGAAATCGAGTCTGTAGAAGTTAAGAGGAATCTGGAGGCAGCAGTTCATTTAATTTTTGAGTTCTGTGAGGATTTTGGCTGTTACTGCCATTCGCTTTAGCCACTATGCTGCATTCATAGGAGCACTCTGCTTGCCACAGAACTAAGGGAAATAAGTAGACTGGTGAGAAAAGTGTTTGGCTGCATCCTGGATGGCACTTGGACAGAGAAGCGGAGATCCTGCCCTGTTAACAGCGACGTGGGAAGGAGGTTGGGAGACCCCAGTGTTGCTGTCCTATTCATAGGCCATAGGTGACCAGCAATAGTTAAGATGGATTTGCCACTGAAAAAGCTCCCATATTTTCATCTGATATGAAATAAATCTAATTTTAGGTATAGGCTAATGTTCTAGAGCCTGGTTTTAGTTCTGTCCTGTGTCTTTCCACTCAATGCAAACTGTGATTTAGCTGCTGTTCTCTTGTTGAGTTGAATTGCAAGTTAATGTCATTTTATTTAATTTTCAAAGAAGACTTTTTTTTATTTGCTTTGTAAAGATGCAAATGGATTTTTTTTTTTTTTTTTTTTAGAAGAGGCAAAATATAGAACGAAGCGGAGGAGAGTCTGCTTTTTTCGTGCTTGTTGTGACAATGGAGCAGGACCTTGGGTGGCAGTGCATAAAACAGAACTGTTTGCTCTTGCAGAGGCTATTAACACCTAAGGATCATAGTTGCAAAATGAACTGGATATTATAAGCAAAAAGAGTTGCTCAAGTGATCAAGCAGCCACAGCTTAATGAGTTGATATGTGGCAGATCACAAAGTCAACAGCCTTTAAATCTATTCTTCTCCTTTAAATATATTCTAAAGCTATTGCATAGTTCTAGTGAGATGCGTGATGTGTTCATTTATAACTGATTATATTTTAAGTTAATATATTTTGCTTTGCTACAGAAGTGTGTGGCTGTTGCAGTACAGTTACTACAGTAACTGGATCATATATGAATGCTTGTTGGCAGACAAAATTAGATGGGGGTGGCTAGAAGATTTTTTTTCTCTCTCTTCGTCACAGTAGTTAAATATCCTGACCTGTTTACAGGGGCAGAACTTTCATGTGCCAATGAAGAAGATCATTCCAACATGTAGACTTAGGACTTGTGTACTCACCGATTTTGTTCCAGTTAAAATGTAACCCGGAATTAAACAACTTTAGATAAATCAGTGTCAACCCTGTGGACATCGATATATCAGCTTAAACATAAATGACCAACTTAGCTTGTGCAGTAGCTGTGCCAGTATCACCTTAACTGTCCTCCAAAGGCTGGAGCTCTACACACTTGCCCTTGCAGATCCACCTGTTGCCTTAGCAAAAACCAAGTACTAATTGTAATAAAACAATTTAAACAAAAATGATACAATATTTATAACTGCAACCTAATAGCACTTGATTTTGTGGGGCTTTATTGGAGCAGTAGACCAGAATGACTTAAACCAATAGCTGGTGCCTAGTTTAGTTCAGATGAGGGGTACCTGTTGCATGAGAGCTCTTCTCTTTAATAGTCTGTACTTTGTTCTCAGATCCCTCTGACGACAAATGGGAGGAACTCTCCAGCAGCGATGAAAGTGATTTGTTTATGGAAAATTCATACAATGAGGGCAGTGGGCTGCTAATGTCACCTCTCTGCCTCTCTGATGAGGTTAACTCAGCGTTCCTGAACTACCTCATTCCAAAGAAGGTCTGTCGGATCTAGAATATAATCTTTCCTTTGTGCAAGATTTGCAGGGCAAACAAGTTATCATAATTCATCTGGAGAGAGCTTTTAAAAATCACTTCAATGTTTTTAAATCTTTTTTCCTTGAGGTAACAACACAATGACACAACTTGATTTGACCAAGTTGTTTCTTCATATAAGTTAGAAGACTCTTGTGTTTTGTAAGCCCAATATGTTTTTATTTGGCTTTATAAAAACTATAAAGGCTCTTTTTTTATTTGGCCGTGAAAAGGGTTAAGTGCAAAAGAAAGGGAACACCTAGTAGAAGAATAGCTGCCAAATGTCTGTGCTAGCTAAGTGAGCTGGAGGTAGTGTATGTGAGCCACAGTAGTCAGCACTGAAAGCGTGTGTTCCTCTTTTTCCCTGTCTGTATGTAATTTGTGAAGTACAATGTTTGACACTGTCAAGAACTTAAATTCTTGTTTCAGAATTGTTTTGTTGATTTTCACTTGGACTTGTAAAGGTTCGATTCCTTTGAACTAGTTATTGCCCTGGTTCAGCCGTGTGATAGGACTCTGAGCAAAAATGTGAAGATGTGAAAGGAATGCCCTTCAGGGGCTTGTGTTTGCCAACGAGCCGCGTACGCTTCCTCCCAAACTCTTTGGGCTGTGCAGCTGACTGAGCATTCTATAGCAGACTATCTAAAAGTTCTAAAAAATGAATAGGAGAGACTTATAAAATTAGCTTTTGTTCTGTAGAGTTGGATGCTTAAAATACGCTGTGCTAAACTTGGTCTGTAATTGCATTGTATATTAGCATTTGAGGAAGTTTATGGCATTTTCAGTAGGTGAGACTTCTGCTATGTGAAGAACTTTTAAAAAATCATATATAAAATAAGTAGTTTGGGATATCTGTTACTGAAATAAATTTCTAGCTTTCCCTCTGTGCTTTCAGGCTTGTTTTTGAAGTGCAGAACTTTATTGCTAAAACTTATTTTTTCTTTTTTTTCCCCTCATAGATTCTTGAAAAAACTGCTTTTCCAAACAGTGTCGCTCTAGACATCTGTATGCACAATCCGTCTTGGAAACCATTAATTAAAAAGTAAGAATTTTATCGTCTCTCTCACTATTTTTCACATATATTCAGTTATTACAGAATTCTTGGAAGGATTATCCATCTTCATATTACTTTAAAGATTGGGATAATGCAGACCTGATAAGTGAATTTTGTTTTTTCAGTGAAGAAATGCAAATATTTGTGAAAACGGCATGACGGATCACAGTTGTAATTCAGGACCCCTTTTTGCTTGTCAGCCCTCCTTTACGAGGGGATCTAAGCGCGTTCCTGTTTGTTTCAGGCTGAACACGGTGCAGTGCAGAGCTCTGACCTGTCTTCACAGCATTTTATTAGTGTCAGATGTGGATTGTCTCGGAGGAGCTTCAGCACTCCAGTCGCTTGCAGAGCATCTCTCACAGCTGGTCTTTTCCAAAATGGGTAAGCTGTTTAGTAAAGAGGGTTTGCTGGTCTGTATCATAAGGATATAAATGACTGCATATTGTTAAGTGGTTTTAATGCCATTTCATTAGTTGTATACGCTTGGCCTTCAGAACAAGGGTACTGAATGCTGGAAACATGCTGACGAAACAGCGTATCCTGATGTAATCTGTTTATCCAAGCAAGCATGCTCCTCATGCAAGGATGTGCTTTACATCTGTGTGTGCAAACAGAAAGCTAATGGATAAACCCTGCCTTGCTGTGAGATCAGAACTGTTTTGCTTGATATAATATTTGTGAAAATAGCTGTTTTTCATCAATCAACAATTTTATCTTGAAGACATTGACGCATTTACCTTTCAAATGTGGTGACTAATCTAAACAACTACCTGAAATGAAGCAGTCTTTTATCCAGCAATATTTTATGTCACTTTTTCTTAAAATCTTAGGAAAATAAAAAAAATGGTTGCTGTAAAAATCCTTTTTTTTAAAAAAAGTGTACCAACCGTGTCACCAGGACATGCATTATTCATGTGGTTGTATTGCCTTATTGAAAATATATTTTTAATAAGTGTGCAAAATTCTTAAGCTTCTTATCAGACTTCCTGCTGTGCTGTTGATTTGACTTGAATTTAGAAGGCAATAAATTGGATAACTTTCATTTTTTTCTAAAAGTGACACTGTTTTGGAATATCAAATATCCTGGTGGATGCTATAATGCTTCCTGTGTGCATCCTCTGTAATTCCTCCAAGATACATTACTTCATAGAAGTATTGTGATGTTTTCCCCACAGTACCAATCCTAGTGAACAATCTAGTCCAGCTGGGCAGCAGGTAATTTAGGCAACTACCTTCAGTCATCTCGTACATCAGATTAGTGTCATTCCTGTAGTACTGTTGGATGGTTTACCCTTTGGTCTGTGTGTTACATTAGAGAAGTTGGTACTGATACTTAAAAAAAAAAAAAAAGTACCTGATTTCAGGTTGCTGATCTGGTTCTCTAGTGGGCTGCTTCATCTAAAACTATTCTACTAATGCATTTTGCTTTAAGGTCAGTTATATGGCACATTTCTACCAAAGCAAAATCAAATGAAAATCAGCACGTATATTTCTACAGGCTGGAAAAACAAGAAAAATTATATCATAAGTCAAATTTGTTGAAATCTTGTATGTGCGTTACTTATTTCCAGTCTCTTAGGAGCTTGAGAAGTGGAGATTTCTTCCATTCTTCCAAATGTCTTCATTTGTAGCTACAAATGTGGTGCGTATAGCTCTTACTCACGGTAGTTCAGCATGGCATTAATAGATGCTTGAAAATGCACTGGATGCAAAACACACTCTTTTCTCAAAAAGTCCTATCAAAAGCAGGTGATCTATCCGTGGGAACATTATGACTAAGAAAGCATATTTCATGAAAGCATAGTGCTTGAAAAACTAAAATGCAGGAAATGAAAATAAATATGAAGATATATATGTGGGGAAGCGTATGTAAAATACTTGCCTGTCTCGTGCTTGAAGAATAAGATTAAAAGGACCTATATGTTATACTTAGTAATAATCAGAACGTTCTTCCGTGAAACTTGAAAAGAGGCCAGATGAAGAGAGATAATAAATTAATTTAATGGCTTGCTTCCTTGTTTTCCTAACATTTAATCTTTTTATTTATTTATTAATAGTTAAATGCTATTTAACAGAAACTGCTAGATAGACCAGATGAGATACCAAAACGTGGTTAAAAGGAATTCTGTGGCTTACTGGGAAAATGAGACATAAAGACCTACATGCTTAGATAGAAAAACCGATGTGCATTAAATTATCGAGGATTTCTGTTTCAGGAATAGTCTAGAAAATGAGAACAAAATGCAGCATAGTTAGTATTGATGAATAGCCATTTGTCACTACGTGAGAATAATGCACTCTCTGAATTGTACGTTTCTGAAAGGTTATTGAACCATAGGAAAATAAATTCTGTACGCGAACTGGAAACAGCTCTCAGTTCTGGGAGCCTAAAAAAGGCCGCTTGCAAGACATAGGGAGTTGTGTATCCAGTAGCTACTGTAGTTTTTTCAGTTACAGTATTGTGGCCAGCGTGTGATACCTGGTTTTTAAGCTTCTGTTTGGACTGGGATGATTTGTACCGTACGTTAGGTCACATAAGTGTCTTAATCAGGAAACTGAGGAAATATTAAATAGCCACGATCTAATCTCCAGGCACAATAAATACTGAATTCAAAAAATCACTATGTACAACCTTACAAAGACCAGTGTCTGAAAATGTAGCTTTTCCTATTTGTGGTAGTACCTGGAGGAATAATTGGGGGATTAAGGCATTCCTATTTCTTTGCTTGTTATATTGTTCATCTTCCTGTTTAACTTTTGGCTTTGGGTGCAATTCTTTGACAGAATTCCCTAAAGACACAGAATTCCTGGAAGCCATAACCAGTGCTTTGAGGGCTCTCTTACAAACAATGGCATCAAAGAACATCTCCCAGGTAAAATACATGCAAGCTCATATATTCTGGTAGATTGAAATTCACGTCAAATTATGCTGGAAAGTTTATGAAACAAAGCTGTTTAAATGAGGAGCTAGAATCCCATAATTCTGAACACTGAAAGTACAGATTAAACAGTGTTCAACCTCTGTTTTTCCAGTGAATCTACCAGCACCAGTTTATGTTATAGCTAATCTCCAAAATGTGAACAAGTGAAAGGTATTCTGAAAGCAAAATAATAATATTCACCATGTAGCATCTTTGAGATGGGTATAATGAGAATAACGAGAAGACTTTTTTTTTTGGTACTAAATCAGTGTCCATTTTTATTTTTTTATTATTTGCTGTTGACATGCATTTGAAGCTGTGTGTTCTTCTAGAATCTTTGTCGAACATATGTTAGTGAGCTAAATAAGAGAATGAAGCATAGTAGTTTGTTATACAAGATGTAACGATAGATGGTCTGCTGCTTCTTTTTGACTTTAAAATGTAAAAATGAGTTTTTATGCTGCACACAGTGAACTGGAAATAGCTATTGAGCTAGGTAAATTTGTGAAAACACATATGGGCTTGAAACTCTTTCCCCTGGTTGTATGGTTATCGGTCCTGTCCGGGAGGAAGGGCTTCAGACGTTGAAAGGGAGAGTTGAACTGTTTTCTTGCTCATTAGACTGCGCCTCTGTTACAAGTCTGCCAGTTTTCTCCTGTAGAAGCAAATAATGCAAATGTCTTAGAAGCTTCCCTGGCCGTGTCACTGTGTGTGTTTTCTCCCTTGCTGAACAGTGTATGACTCCTGCACAGCTAATCGCTTTATGTGAAGCTGGGATTCACAGCAGCAACTCCAGTGTTAGAGTGAACGTCGTCAGCATCCTTGGAATTTCGGGCAGTGTCCTGGCCAAATCAGAAAATACAGCCGAAACATTAAAGGTGAAAAAACAAACTTTTCAACTCTGAAACTGCCTCTTTTTTTCTCTTTTTCCCCTCATTTTTTATAAGCACTATTGAAAATCAATTTTTGTTTTTTATTTCAGATGATTGGAAAATTTCTTCTTGAGGTTGCTATGAAAGAATCTTCTCTTGTCGTAGCAGGGGAAGCACTGGATGCACTTTTTGATGTGTTTGCAGATGGTAAAGAAGCAGAAAAGGCAGCAGTACAGATTAAGTTGCTCCCAGCATTGAAAGAATTTCAACCAGTATTCAAAATGAGGGTAAGCATCAAATGCAGCTAGCTCAGAGTTTCAACACTCAACGTGGGTTAAGTCTTGAGATCAGGGCTGCTAAGAGATAATTAAGCAGGAATACCTGGATCTAAAAAAAATGGTGAAAATTTGTGAAAGTGTTGAAATTCCTGTTCTGTTTTAGAAGAAAGCAGATACACTTACTTTGCAGTTCATATCACCATTTTAAGGTTACAATGTAACGTCTTCATTCCATCATCAGCATTATTGATGTCTAAATCTCAGTATTTTTCTGAAACCTTTGCAAAGTGAATTCTTTAGATGTCTCTGGAGGAGGACCAAGTACGGCTAATTCAGAGGGAAAGGGAAAGGAAGAAGTCCCTTCTGAAGTTAAATCGACAGCTTTCGTTTTTAGCTTGCTGTAGTTATGGCAGTTTTGTTCTGTTCCTGGTTAATTAAAATACATCACATATTCCATGTTTTCTAAACTGTAATTTTAAATATGTTTGTGACTTAAGCAGCCTTTAATGCATTGTTTCTTTTAGTCAGATGACGCCTGTGGACTAGCTTCCATAGTCCTGAGTTCAAGCACTGTATATTTCAAATACATTAATTGCATGCTACAATTGTTTAATTGTTATATAAGGTGGATCTTTTATTAAAATAGATACAGAAAAGAAATGTATGCTTCAAACTTATGGGGGAAGTAGGATGCTAGTAGTATTATGGCCAGATATAGACACAGATGCTGTTTTATAATAACTTGCCTTATAGAGCATATTGCTAATCTCGAATCAGCATATAGGCATGTGAACATGTTGTTTTGAGCTCTTGAGCAGTAAGTATCATGGCTTGCTAGGGGGCATATACACCATTGTTATAAACTTAAATGACCTAACAGAGGAGGAGGGAAAAAAAAGAAGAAAAAACCACACTTCTATATTAGTGAAGTATATGTTTTGGATTTACAGATGCGAAAAGAAAGCAAAGGAGAATACAGTGCAGATCAGCTCTGTGTTCTTGACAACGTGAAGATGAATTTGAGAAGATTCATTGCATATCAGGAGACATTAGTGAAAAATCCAACTTGAAACATCAAGGAACTTTAAGGTTTCCTTTATTGAATAATGTTTTCAAAAATATAACCATTTTGGCTTCTAAAATTTGTTGAGCAGAGCAGTTTTGCTTTCATGTTAATACTTTTGTTTTTGTTTTACATTCAGTATTTTTATACTTCTGGGTGGATGCAATATGAAAGTGTCAGCATAAAAGAAAAATAGCATTACTGTGAGATTACGTTAGCTGTGGTATGAATGTGGTCTTGCAGTCCTGAGATGTTGTAAATAGCACTATCAACGTTAAGAAATCTTCGACTATCCTGGCAGAAAATTATCATTACATGAAAAAATAATTTAAGAGATGTCCTCAGTTATGTGCCTGATCACAAAAACGTAAAAACAAATCAAATCCCTCTCAGATATTTTTTGGGAAGTCATCAGTGGCAGAACACTCATATTTGCTATTTGTTTTTACCCGTTTCTGAATTGCACGGGCATGTTTCCCAAGAAAAGTATATGACAAGTGGGTAGATTACTATCAGCACTTGGATCTATAGCTTCTCAACATTTATCGAAGAGAAAATAGTCTTGGATTCATTTGTGATAAATATAGTTGGTTAAGCTTCTACCGTGGAAATGAGTTTAGGAGGATCCTATTCAGACATAATGGCTTTTATTATATTTTGATTGGTAATTCAGAAAATCAAGTATACTAGTTTACCTTCTTCCTTGTAGCTCTACATGAGGATAAGTGTGGATTCAGGGAAGTAGTGAACCTAATAAAGATATTTTTATACTGAGTTATTATCTGAAATAGTTTTATAATTACTTAAAGTATCTTTGCAATATTTGTGATAGAGACATTTAAAATGTAAAACTAGCTATTTTTCAAAGAAATATCACTGATTCGTGAGGATTATATGTACTGCATATTTTTCAAGTTTCACTTTTTTATGAACAAAGTATTGTATCAAGTACCGTTTTTTAAACAAAAAAAGGAAAAAGTGGAAGAAACTGAAGTGGAACAAAAAAAATAAGCTGTATTTCAGTGAGGGAAAAATTAACTCATTTATGATTTCCACTGTGTTCTTTCCCTTTGAAATCCATGCAGTGGGGTGCACATCCCAAAGTGTTTTCTTGTGACTCCTGAAATGGAACTTCTTATTTTCCCTCCACCATTAATTGATGCAGGAGCAAAGGGAGTAAATTTTGCTCACAGTATTACTATACTACTAGCTGCAAAAACCTAACTTTGGTTTGTTAGACTTCAGTCTGCTTTAGACTAGAAAGCAGGCTTTAGACTGGCTTACTTGCAAATGACTAATTTTGTGAAACTCTGACCTTTTTGGACAAATGGAAGCGGGGGAAGTGAAAAATGAATTAAAATAACTGCACTGGCAGGGGAGAGAAAAAAAAATCCCTGTTCTTGCTGTTGCTTTTCAGAAGTTAGATTAAATGTATGATGTGCTGCCTGCCAACCAAATGAGCGCGGGAGCGAGTGTCAGGGACCATGGGACTTCCAGGCTGTTGAGTCTGGGCACAGAAAGTACAGGAGAAGTGAGGAAAATGTAGTGATTTAAAGGTTATCCTGGGATGCAGAAGGGTAAACACAGAAGAAGGTCAGTGTATAACTGCTGAGGAAAGAGTAGTTATGGTGTGAGACCGTACAGTGTGTGGATCTTAATTCCAATGTTAGAAATACTGGCCATATCCTGAGGACAGAACGGTATTGAAAAGGAGCTAAAAAGAGCAGGGCTCTCTTCAGAGCCCAGTGAGGTTGTGTGGGTCTTGACCAGTCCAAGTTCGAGCATATCCCAAGGATGGAAATTCAACAGCCTCTCTGGACAACCTTTTCCAGGGCCTGACTGCCCTCACTGTGAATATCTCTTCCCTTAAACCTCGCTGGAATTCACCTTGCGAGATCTACCTCTCCTCCTTTGAATGGAAGGAGAATCTGGCCACATTTTATAACCTCCCATCAGGTAGTTGGTTGAAAACAGCGATTATATTCCCTTTTCGTGGTGTGTGGCAAACCTGGCCCTTCAGGCCGTGCCGCGTGCTCCAGCGCTCTGCCAGGGCTGGGGGCCGTGCGCTCGTGTGCCCTGTCCCGGGGGCTGCAGCTCCGGGCCCTGGGTGCTAAAGAGGGGGCTCTAATCCCTGCTCCTGGCACTGGCCTTGCCTCCTCTGCGGGGCCGCTCTTTGCTCGTGCACGCAGCAGCCTGTCCTGTTTCGCTGGGTTATTCCGGCCCAAGTGCAACGCACGGGTGTTCTGTAGCAGGTATGGCAGTGGAATCTGCTTCCTGGGGACTGTTAGAGTGATAATGTGTGTGTTATTCTGTTGTTGAGCTTTTATTTAGGTCACTAATGCCAAATGTTTCATCTTGAAATAAAATCTTAAATTTGCAGATAAATATATGTAAGATGAGGCCTCTACTAAGCCTGCTTTTTTTTTTGTTGTTTTTTTTTGTTTGTTTGTTTAATATGATCTATGCCCTCTCCCCCTCTTTTTTTTTTTTTTTCCCCCTCCAGACTTCCAGGTTCCATTTAGAACCTAAACCACTCCAGCAGTAAGAATTTTCTTTTATTTCTGTATACAATAATCAACTGAGTATCTTTTTTAAAAAAAATCTTCCTTTTTATCATAGAAAGATGAATGTATAGTACTACAAACCATATGTCCTGCAGAAGTAAATGACTTAATGTGTAAATACTTGTTTCTGTCTCTGGTACACGTGCCATTTCTAACTTGTAGCTAAAAGAGTAACGAGGACATACGGTGGCATTTTTGTTTTTTGTGAACGTGTAATAAAACTTGAATCACCTTTTTCCTAACTTCACCCTTGGAGCACTTTGCTGGACCTTTTCCATGGGCACAGGTGGAGACAGGTGAACTGGTGGCTCTGGCTCACTGGGTGCTGCTGCTTTTCCTTTGGGTTTGGTTTGGGGGGTTGGTTTGGTTTTTTGCTTTGCTTTGCTTTTTCCTGCCTTATACTACTTAATCAGTAATATTAATGAAATTTGCATATGATTTCTTTATATCCTATCACATGCAAGTTTTTTAGCAGTTTGCTTCGCTAGTGGTGCATGGCAAAATTGGGGCCCTGAACTTCCTTTGGGATTTCTGAGATATTACAGTTATTTAGCCAATTGCATATATCAGGGTCGTCTTTTGTTGTTTTGTTCGGTTGAATGAAGAAAATTTCATATGGTCTCATATGGCACCTGCCTTGTATCAGGTTTGCATGGTGAGTGAGTGAATACGAGATCGTAATTCTGTAGGTTAATTTAGAGAGTATGTTCTGCTCATACAAGATGAGATGTGAGACAGTAGAAGTGTGCAAGATGAGGCTAGCAATGTGAGACAATTTTTCCATACATATACATCTCTTTATGTCACAGTCTGACTCTTAAATTGTAAGATAAGGACTGCAGAAATTGTAACACAGCTGGGAAAATGATGCCAGCAGAAAATAAGATGGTGTGTGGCAAAAATGAAATGTTTGAAAGACTCTTTTTGGCACTGACTTATTTAAGTAGATTTACGGTGTGTGGGAGATGAATAATGTGAAGACAAGATTTTTGACAGCCTATAAAGAGAAAGCCAGATCTTGGAGATCCTCTGGGGGTGGGAGAAGTTGGAGTGATCTAGACAGTGATTAGTCTGTGGTATAAATAAGTAGATCCTATATGTGCAAGTATGCATCATCAATTCATTTCATCACTGGTATCAGAACAGGTATCAAACTCTATTTTTTTTTTATTTGTTTCTCTCATCTCCCAAAACATCATTGACTGAGGAGGTGGGGGGGAAGTAGAGAAAGAGGAGAAAAAAAATCTTTTAAAAACCTACATTGTTGCTTTATCAGTATCTCTGTCTGACATGAAGCACAACAGAATCTTTCTCTGGATCAAGATTTTATGCCATAATATGGGTTTTTTTGAGTGGATTCATGACATTAGGTAAGGAGCTTAAGGACAGATGGGCTCTCCGCTTCCCCACCTTTTCAGAAGCGGTAGGATAGGCAGCAGTCGCTGCTTCTTGCCACCTGCAAAGTGTTCAGTCACAGACTGTAGATATGGAGCTGTCACTGCTACGCCTCTTGTCTTTACTCCCTGTGAAAAGGAACAAGTGGATGTCATCCCTTGACACTCAAAGCATGTAGTTAATACTGTCCCTGTTTGAGACTTGTGGTGTGCTGGGTTTCTTTCCAACATGGCCTTTTTAAGACTCTGTTCCCTTAGACAAACAAGAATCTCTTAAACTACAACTTGCCTTGTTTTTACTTTTGTATTTTGAGGGGAGAAACAATGTTAAAAAAGCACAGCAGAATCACAAAGCACAAACTGCCCTCTGAGAACACATCAATTTAGAAACAGTTTGAGCTTAAGTATTGTAAATTAAATGTATATCTTGTGGAATATTAACATATAATAATCAACTGAAAAAGCACATAAACTCAGCTTCTTTTTCTTTAATTTTCAGTGAAAACATTCTCAGAGGAGTGGTTAGAGACATCTAGTCTTACAATTTCTGCTGCGAATTAAAATCCAGGCAATGTTAGTGGTAACCAAAATCACGTAATGTTTTTCTGGCACCCTTGACATGGCTTATGTTCCAACAACAGTTTACACTGGTCTTACTTTTAAGATACGTACCATTGCTAAGAAGAAGAAGGTAAAAATAAAAACTCAAATTACAAAGGGGCAGGGAAGTTTTTCCACACAGACTGAAACGTGGTGCTTCTGTGTGAAGCTTGTACTGAGTGTGTTGTTTTGCTTTGTCTACTAATAAATTAAAATGTTAACTTTCGTACCTTTTCATGAAAAATAGCGTACATTGAGATCACTTTGGAACAATTTCACTATAACTCTCTACTGCTATGCTGTGTTTTCTTTGCGTTCTGACACATTAATTTTCTTGAACTTTTAAGGAAAAGTGCATTGGCCTCTCCACCCTCTTTGGAGAGAGAAGGGCACTTCCCGAATTTAAGTGCAAGAATGGCTGACTTGGCTAGAAAAATACTTGTTTCTAAATAACCTGAGTTTGTAATTATGACAAAATTTTAAAAAATCACTTTTATCACTTTTTTTCTTTTGCTATGTCTATGCTGTAGCCCCTACTCTAACACCGTCATGGTGCTGTGCTGTGCAGGGTTGTCCTGGCTTGAGCTGGGGCCAAGGGCTGCTGTTGAGCACCCCTGTGAAGGAGTCAAGCTCCGTCCTAGGGGAAAATGTGCCAGCCTCCATGCCCTGAGTGCAGAACAAGTCAGGCAGCACTTGGAGTTGGCAGAATTAATTTAATTTTCCAAACTTTTTTTATGGTATTATTTCTCTATGGATAAATTTTAAGTCTTATTTTTTCAGAGTTAGGCTTCTGCTTCCCTTTTCTGTATTTTTATTACAAAAGGAAACCTTTGTGTTATTATTTTAACAGGCCTATGTTCTTTTTCTGGTACTCTGAAAGGCAGCAACAGAAGCAGATGAGCAGGGGCCAGCCCGCCCTGGTTTTCCCCTGTCAAGCCCAACTCTTTCCCTGTAGCGTGGATGGCGACGCAAGGCGCAGAGCCTCCTGTCTGGGCAGGGACGGCTCTGGCCCCTTCCAAGGCCAGCCTGGGTCCCATGGGGTGACAGGGAGCCAGCAGGGCCCATCTGGACAGCAGGGCCTGGGTGCCGCGCAGCCAAGGGGCCGTTGGAGGCTGCAGCGGGGCGGTACCGAGAGGGGCTGTGGCTGGGGCTTGTGCCCCTAAGGCTGCTGTGCGCTGCCCCGCGGCGGGCTGGGGCCGCCGGGCCTCGCCGCCACCTTCCAGCACCTTCCTCGCGCGCCGCCGCAGCGGCCGCGCCGCGTGCGCCCCCCCCTCGGCCC